ATTAGCTTGCCGCCCGAATATCTCTTCGAACTATATAAACTATTTCGTGTACGAACTGGAGTAAAATATGATGGAGTACGATCCGTCGATTTCTGGCGCCGTTTGCAAATCGTACGAGAGAAAACATCCTATCACTCACACTGGGATTTGTTGGAACAATAGTCGGTTTCCAATTAAGACCGTAAGTCAAGTTTAAACGTTTCATACCAATTTTCTAATGAAGATGGCAGAGGGGTAATGGGCAGCTGGACTTAAAGCCCAGTGCTATCTCATATGTTTTTTATGTTATCCAAAAAGTCTTATGAAGATAAATTCTTTATGTGTTAAGTTAATTTTTTAGTCAAAGTCAGTTTTCAAAACTGTCGGTCGAGGCATACTTTGATAAACTATGTTTTTCGAATTGGCTGTGCCAATTAGGATCAAATTTCGAGTGTAGCTTCATAATAACACCTTCTAGTAAAACATGCCGGAATTTTTCATTGGTAGACTTTAACTGAAACCATTTATAAATCTTAAAAAATCGTGCATTTTTTATTAGGTTTTGAGTACTTTTTTAAAAATTTTACCACTACTGTATGTGCGCTAAAGTCCTTTGGAATATCCCATTAAATTATTTTGTTGACAATGTTTTGATAAGGATCCTCGAATTATTGGGGTATGGTGCATTATAACTTTTAAGGATGATTTTTCAAATTGGGACATGTAGCAAATTACAAAATATTAACATTTTTTCATGCATATACAAGGTGCTGTACGTCGTTCAGTTGAACGAAATAAAATTCAAATAAAAAACATAACATCCGTAAACAAATTAACCTAAAAAATATTTGTTCTTACTTATGTTATAAACGGCAAGCTACATTTTCAAAACTATATTCAAATATTGCATTTACATAGGTTCGTAGGGACTGACATAATAAAGCTTCGCTTATGTTCCCACGTCTGGAACACAAATTTATGAACACGGTATATGTAAGTTATATATATCAGTACTTATAAACTAAATTTATCTCCTATTTTATGAACAATACGAATACAAGCGAGACTCCTACGGGTGTCAATAGAGACCCGTATATATCGACTTTTAAGTATTTACATTGGAGTTCACAAATCTTTGTAAATCTGTATATAATACTTCGTCTGTTCGTTCATTTGTTGACATTTTCACTCGAAATTATTTCAACTACCTTCGATTTGTTTTATAGATTTTGGGTTAATTTAGCGATCTTTTCAGTTTAGGTTGTTCTGATAGTGCCTGAGGAAGTAGCCAATTGCATGGAAACGAAAATGGTTTAATTTCTTCTTTGTTTTTATAAAATCTCCATACATCTAGAATCAAGTCCATTTTAGTTAACCATCATATCCGCCTGAGTAGCCGAAGGCGAGGAATTTCGACTAGCAAGTCAATGGTCGTGAGTTCGAAGAGTTTTTAATAAAAGCCGATAGCCTAAGATGCTAGTGCTTCTAAGAGTTTAGTCTTAGAATTTATTTCTCTGACGAAATTAATAATAATAATAATAATAGTTAACTATACATTCACAGACACTTTTTTTGCTTTATTTTTAATATCACTCTTAATTTCTTTGCAATAAAATACTTTTACTGCAAATTTCAATGTCGTTTCTTTTGAAGAGGAAAAAGGCAACTGAAAAAAATCTTAAAAATACTATATTTATATTATATTCATGTAAGCAAATTGTAAGAAAGTGGTGATTTTCTCTCTTGTTCAGATAAGACTAAAAGAAAATTTTACACTAATCTCTTCTCAGAACACAAAAAATTTTTACAATATAATGCTAGAAAACTCCTGACGTTTTTTTTTTTGTTTATATTGAAATAAAAATACGTTTTTTAAAGTCAGATGACAACAAATTGATAAATTTATTTATTTTATTAATTTATTTCAACAAACTTTCACGGTAAAAATCATCAATTGGGCGAAAACAATATTATTTTGTACCATAAAGTATAAAATAATATACCTTCGATATGCAATACAATTTTGACATTATTACCGCAAATAAACCTTAAGAGGTTCATAACAGTTGGTTTTCATTTTAAAAAGCGATAATGAAATGAAGACAGATTTGAAGAGTTGATAGAAGATACTAACTGTTGAATAACAATTCGTTGAAAGAATTTGCGTAAAACACTCAATTTGGTAATGTCTCTCTAGTTTTCGACCAGAGGCTTGTCTCCACGTTTGTGAATTGGAGCAAAGAAGCTACTCTTCCGAAAGAACGGCTAAACACTTGTTTTATAGTTGATGGGATGTAACGTGAGTAGCTACGCGTGAAGTGTAAAAATCTAGATTTATATTCCAACGGAAGAGGAAATCCTTTTTTGATCACTCCCTGAAAAGTAACAAGATTATGACATATAATACAGTCTTTGAAGAAGCGTCCCAGAAGGCTTTGGATATATGATGGGATATGATCTCCGTGCCCGAATCGAATGATTATATCGACCACTTTTTGCAATTCCTTAAAAGCGGATTCAGAAGAGGCGGACGTCATCCCAAGGCAGTATAAGATAAGTGGTGTAAGGAGAGCATGAGCTCTTTTCATCCTAATCTGAAGAATGAGATACATACACTAGTTACATAGATCATGTTCAGTGTACTATATGATTCTGACAGATTTAGTAAGGCACAATAAAAGAGATGACACGCAGTGCAGAAATTAGT